CCCCCCCCCCCCCCCTGGCGTGCCCGACCCCGCCCCCGGGCCCAGGGGCCGGAGCCGCGGCCCGGGCAGCCCGGCAAAACGCCCCTTTTATATTGGGGTCCGTAAAGGGCGGCGCGGCCGGATGGCTCGGACACATGTTCCCGGGGGCCGGCCCATGCGCTGGGCCCCGAGGGCTGCCGGGCCCCCGGCGCGGTGGCCGCATGGCGGACGCACGGACGCCGCTGCCGAATGCCCGGTCACCGGCACCCGGCCCGGGAGGCAGCCAGCCCTGCCCGGGGCCTTCCTTCTGCGCGCGCGCACGCGAGGGTGCGGGCATCCGGCGGTCGGCCGGACGGGGCGCGCTCGCCCTTCGGGCCCGGGACACCGGAGGGGCCTGGCCCCTCTGTCCGGCCCTTCCGCGCGCGAGGCCCCGCCCCGGCGGGGGTCGCCGGCTCCGGCGCCCTGGGCCCGGCCCGCGAGAAGACTCTGGCCCGGCCACTGTCGGCCCCCGGACAAGGCCGCGGGGCTCCTGAATCTAGTGCCCCCTCGCCCCGGCGCGCTTCCGCCAGGCCGGCGAGACCCACGAACGCGGGGGATGGCCCTCGGGCGTGGCTCCTCCCCCGACGGACCGGCTGCCAACGGACTGGCCCGGCGCGGCCGGGCAGAGTCCCGCGCCGCAGCCGCCCACCGGGAGAGCCCCGGCCCCCGGAAGCCCCCAACACACAAAACGACACACACATTGTATTCGCTGCCGATGGCAGGGGGGCGAAAGGAAAACCGGCCCGCCCCACATGCGAAGGAGGGGGGGGTGGGTGTGCGCGGCGGCCGGTGCTGTCGGCACCCCGGGCGCCGGTGTTCAAGCCGCGGCGGGGGCTGCATCGGCCGCGGGCGCCGGCGTGGCCTGCTCGGCTGCTTCCTCGGCGGTCTCCTCGGCGGTCTTCTCGACGGCCACCTCCTCGGCGGTCTCCTCGGCGGTCTTCTCGACGGCCACCTCCTCGACGGCCACCTCCTCGACGGCCACCTCCTCGACGGTCTCACCGACGGTCTCACCGACGGCCTCCCCGGCAGCCTCCTTGGCGGCCTTCTTGGCGGCCTTCTTGGCGGCCTTCTTGGCCGCCTTCTCGGCCGCCTTCTCGGCCGCCTTCTCGGCCGCCTTCTCGGCGGCCTTCCTGGCGGCGGCCTCCCTGGCGGCCTTCTTGGCCGCCTTCTTGGCGGCCCGCTTCGCCGCGCTCTTAGCGGCCTTCTCGGCCGCCTTCTTGGCCGCCTCTTCCTCGGCGGTCTCCGCCAGGGAGGCGCCCGGGATGCTGGCCCCCGGGCTGCCGGCGCGCTCGTAGCCAGTGCCACTGCCATCATTGCTGTCGGCGCTGTTGCCGGAAGCCCCCTGG